AAATCATATTCACCAGCAAGCCACTGCTTTTTTGGTCGAGCTAATAGTCCCAAACACCATATTGGACAGAAGCAGACGATTCAAGAGTAGGGTGGAGGAGGATGGGGAGAATTTATTCTGTACAGGGTCTCTGTCTCAAACAGCATCGGTTACCGGCGAAGCCAAAGTCTACGTTGAAAGTCATGCCTGAAAGTATCGTTTTAGTCCGCTGCTAGCACAGGCTTGCGGGGACGAGTTTCACAGTCTAGCGTATGCGCCCTGCGTCAGTTGAGGCCTGACTGATTGTGATTATCTGGACGCTAGTACGCTTCAATGCTGCAGTCGATTGGTTGGGTCGGGATGTGAGTGACCTTGACGCGGCAGAGCATGAGCCCAAGCGCTGGACCATGGGAGTGCGGGGGCGTACTAGTAGGGTTCATGTCTTCTCTGAGAAGTTCAGAGTAGGAGAACGCGATTTCGATGGTTGTGTGAATCTCATCCCAGATTAGTGGTAGACTTCGTCCAGTTTGACGGACGAACTAATGTGCCCCGCCGCGGGTAATGAAATACCAGCCTGTTGACTACCGTCAAAGGTTTGTCCGTGCACGCGGTATCATCTGTGTGCTTGAAGGTGATGACACAGTAGAGGGAGAGGCTCTATGAAAAGCTGAGTCGTTTATCGGCATATGTTTCAAAATCCAGGTTGTTCAGGGTTGAAGTTGTTCAAACATTCCTCAGTTTTTTTTCTCGCCTTTCAGCTAAATACGTCTCTGGTCGCGACTGTTGACACCTACAGTAGAGAGTCTGTCTCATGAAACCAACCAACCATGTCAACCAACATTCAAAAATGTGTTTTCGATTCGAACAAGGCAGATAAGTCGAGTCGGAGTATTAATTATTCTGCAAACTAATCTCAAGATATTTCATTTGCAGCAGGATACGAGCTTCTTGCTGACTGCCCAGCTGAGAAGTATATGCTGTAAAAGTTAGCTATTTAATTTGTAGGCATTTGTATCATCGACTTTCGACGCCCATATAAATCCAAATATATTTTATGAAAAGCATGCAGATAGATCTTCTTTCTCGAAGTCATTTGGTAGGAAATTACGCCTTCTTCGAATGTAACACTTAAAGAAATGGTATCTTTCAATTTAAAAAGAATTTCTAATCATGAGGTCTCTTAATACCTTAAATGTTTCATTCATGCCCGAAAGTATCCGTTTATAATTAATTGTGTCCATAAATGATCAGCACTTATTGCAAAATGTTATGCGAATTATGTAACTTGTTCCTCAGAGCTTAGAGAAATGTACAATATTCATCAGACATATAGTTTGGAAACCTTGAATTCGAGTTTATTGACCGGTAGAGTTCAAAACTATTCAGACATTTAGGAAACTCCTTAATAAGGAAAGATTCTCTTTGATTAAGTATACAATTTAAAGTAGGCGAACATTTCTGCTAAATAAGTAGAATAAGTAATACTTTTTGAAAGGTTTCTATAAAACAGCTTAGACTTTACAACTATATAGAAAATCGATGCGAAAAAAATCATCCTACTTAGTGGCTATTTTACATAACACTCTTATTACAGGCGGTCCGAAGGGCGTTTATTTAAAAATCTGCATCCTTTTATAACTCAAATATCTTGGGATTAGTCTGCAAGCTAATAAATCTCGAAGGCTATTTAAGTACTTTCGCGGGTCGAAAACACATTTGAGGATTTTGGTCAACATTTAATGAAATAAGGAATCTACCGTACTGGCGTGAGATGGTGCTCACTAAATTGACCCAACCGCAGCATCGCCCGTCGTTTTCCCCCTTTTATTCTGAAGTAGCAGTAAGAACGCCGAACGACCCGCTGAACCCAGGCTTCAGTCTAGAACATACAGCATCTTGACGCTAAATAAGTCTATAGTGGATATACCACGGCGCCTCTTTTGATGAAAATTCTCAAATACTGACTGTTTGCTGTCATTCAAACACTTGTTTGTGGACTGCAGGGCAAAGTGAAACTTCGCTCCCTTTGCATCATCTCCGTGTGATCTACTACTCCCGATCACAAACAACAGAAGTTGGGCTTGTATTTTGGTGACCCGTGGGATGTGGAGATGAGATTCGGGTATCAGCGCAACTGCGTTGATTACTGACGACGAATTAGCCAGAAGAGATTTCGCCAATTTGTTCTGCTATCTTGGCAGCCTTTTAAATCCCGCTTGCGCCATCCATATCGGGACAAACGCTTTTTTAGACGTGACAATCTTTAAGCCGCCAATAATCATTTTTGTAGGCTAGTACTCACAGCGATGAAACGTCTTCGTCCCCATCACACAGGCAGGCCATTGTCAGCCCAATTCTCGGAATGCATTCGGAAAATAAATAGTGGAAAGTAAGAGAAGAACGAAACATCTGATAAGGGCTTGTAAGGAAGAGACTTAAGTTTCAGTGGAGAAATCAAACGTTTTATAATTAAGAGTAAATTTGTTAATAACAGGAATTTCCCAGTCCGTCACAAAAGTTTGTGCGAAGATTGATTTTAGCATCAATATCTCGGCATTAGAAACATAAATAGTGTAGTAAGTTGCTTTTTTAAATTAGCTAACCTGCATAGAACTTGCTTCTTCGTCGGCAAGTTGGCATATTGCCCGAGGGCCTGATTAGTGTTTCTGTTTTGCTGGGGTTTTTTGGTGCTAAAATTGCAGCTTCACACAGAGTTTTCTGCTGACTTGGGAAATCCTCGTCATCTACAAATCTACTTATGAATCTACATATCTTTTTCGCAATTCGTCATCGGGCCTGTATAATTACATTGATAATAAATAAAGGGTTTATTAATATCTTATGATTAAGGCTCAGCATTACCACACCGCCCGCCGGGCGAGATCGGCATGTAAAGGTCATTGGACCAGGGAGGGGGGGAAATAGGATAGGCTACGAGTATTAGTCATGGATCGAGTAAACGGGGGGAAAATCACTGTCATGCACACGGAGTAAACAATTGTCATTAGGGGGGAGGGCGGGCAACATGTGATCGCCACCTGGCGTGGACGTCGGCCACGGAGGGGAAAGTTCCTGTACTAACGCCTTCTAAGAGCACAGCATTGGAGTCGCTGGCCGTATAGCCACTCGGCTATTGCGAGCACTCGTTGGTGCAAGCCCTCAGAGAAGCTGGCTGGTGTCCGGTAGACAACCTGAAAGGCTTCGTTGGGATGGATTCGGTGAATCGCATTGACAAGGTATGCGATAACAGAACCCGAGATCGATCTAGCTTCAGCTTTACTTTGCCAGGCTGATATATATTCATAAACCCTCTTATATAAACCCTGTCCAACTGTCCTCTTTTCATTTTCAGTGCAATTGTACCGGCTCGATGATGAATTTCCGAAAAAATACGTTTGCCAAACACACTGTTCAATTTAAACATGAGAATATTTGCAGACTTTACTTTTAATCGAATAAAAAAACATGGATGTTAAAAAGTCTTCGTTTACTGCACAAGCTTCTCAATCTTAGAGTTGTTACCCTGCCGGATGTATCGTTCTCTCACTAGCGTACTGGTTACAATTAAAAACAGAGAATTCGCTGATTGAACTTACCGCCGAGGAATGCTGACCGCTTTGAGCTTGGAACTTCTCCAGCGTTCCATTTCGGTCACAACTTCATCCACTAATTCATCGCTGGTCTGTAACTCGTTATTCTCCTTGTAAGATTGAATAAAATGAGTATATGTCAGTTTTGCTGCATTTATGAAACGGCATCGGTAGAATGAGCTATGGTTGATTGTCTAACTAATGAAAGTTGAAGGGGATAGTTAAACACGCATTTGTTTATTGAATTGATTTGAGGCGTGGAAAGCCAGTTACAAGAAAAGAGTTCCGTTCAAATCAATGTATCGGAGAAAAGAGTGGGACAACGCGGACCAAGTCCAACGTTTCTTGATATCCAAGCAAGTTCATATGCGGCTGAAAATCTTTTTACTGCATGTTTTACTGTAAAATAATTTTAGTATAAGCTAGAAAGGTTTTAACTATACCTTTTAAGAGAACGGAAAAAGTCGTAAATACAAGTATGAGAGGTCGCATTATTTTCGGGAAGATAAAAAAAAGCATGTTTTGCAAAACGCTGGTATATTATATATCATAAAATGAAGTAATAAACTTGTGCAACCCTAGTTTGTTTTACGACACCTAAAAATGGACTTTAAACAAGTATATATACATGAACACCCGTCATATGTCGTCACATTCCTCTGTCACGATACCAAAACTGTTCGCTTTTCAAAGGAGATATGAATTCGATAACATTTACAACTGTAATCTTACGATTTAGACAACAACCAGCCTCCAACCGGCCTTCCATCTATTTTTTTTGCCAACAACACGGATATTAACCCTAGAGAAAATATTTTTTCATTTATCAAACGAAATTTGCATAAGGCAGAGGAGAATCTTTCTATGCGAGGAAAACTTGAGTTTGTACTAAATAATCATATTGAATAAAATGCTATAGACAGTCCGGTTATCTCCATATCTGGCAGACTTAATGCTGCTTTAAATGTTCACGGATAGTCTAAAATTTACCGATATTTCGAACTTGTAATTATTCCACATTAATGCAACGTTTTTTGCGCTTCCCCTGCCTTATACACCTTTATATTTAACGCTTAATCAATTACCTAAAATTGGAGGTTTTTTTGAAAATTATCTGTTTGTTAGTAAATAGTACTTTATCAACTAACTTATACCTTCTTTTTAAGGACCGCCGTTTATTTACTGATATAACATCTGACGGGACGCAGCATGAACTGATTTCGTGCAACAGGCAATTTCTTGCCTAACTCATCAGCTAGACAATCGACTGTACTTAAGCTTCACACGCATAGTCACTTACCCTGTGGTGCAGGCGGAGACACCATTGTTCCACGCAGATTCGAGCGTCTTCAATACGATACAGCAAATCTTCCCGTTCGTCGGACCAAACCTTGTACTCCCTCTCCGCAACCCGTTCCGCTTCAATTAATCGCTCCCTGAAGAGCTCTGCCTGTTCGCGGTGGAAAGCCAACTGAAAGAGTGTACAAAACAAAAGGTTGCTTTAAGTTCATCAACTTAAATGAAGATACGAAGTAATTGATCAGTCCCATGTATGATCCCATACCATAAGCAGAAATAACACATGCTCTGTGGCACTGTTCCTAGAAAGTACTTATCATCCAATTGCGAAATTCATGTAAAGGCAGACGCAAAAACCTTGAGACTAAACAGCGAAGATCGACTTGCCTGTACAACTTGCTCCTTTATGGCTTCCATTTGCTGTTCTGCAGACTGTCTTGCTGCTTCGGCCTCCTTTACGGCGGCCACAGACATTTGGGAGAAGTTGTCGGTCTTTGACTGCAGTTCAGCGCGCAACTTGGCAATTGTGCGCTCAGCCGCCTCCAGACGTCTCGCAGCCTCTGAGTTTGCCGCACTGGTAACGCTCGCACTCAGTTGTGGCAGCTGCCCTGACCGGCTCGAAGTTCCTCCGAAGCGCTGCAGTACCTTTGGCATCTTCTGTTGATCCTTAAAGTGTGCCAGTTGTACCTAGAAATGTGTCGTCAGCGTCAGTTATTGACACACGTTTTATGAAGGCCTACTGAGCAGCATTTCAGTAGATAGTTTAAATAAGCTAACCTTAAGCTCAGCACGTTCATTCTCCAAACGCTCTATTTCAGAGGCCAGACGTTGACGTTCCCTCTCGTATTCCTTTTCAGCCTCTGCTAGCTTGATACAGGCCTCCTGTAGGGATTTGCGAGTATTCATAATAACACCCTTCCTGTCCTCTTGCTAAAGTAGAAAGCAAGCAGACACTTTTGTGGAGATACCTTTAGCGTTTATAAAGGGCAACGTAGGAGTTTAGAGGGCTCAGGCAACAGTTGCAGACAGTAAATTAACGCTCACGAACAGGCCTATGGCGAATTTTGTAACCCAATTGCCTAGTGACTACGCTGGTTGAATCACAACTCATGGAAGACGGGCAGCAGTAGTAGAGTACGAAGAGCAACAACAGCATGCATCAACGCCATCAGCAACAGCAGTAACATGAGAAAACTAAAAAGCAGTGATGCGTGAAGCATTTGCAAGGTCGACTTCAGGGATGAGAGCACAAGTCGGGGTGAGCTGTACCTGTGCCGACTTTCCTTTCTCCTCCTCCTGTGGCACCGGCGGCAATCGCATCTGCGAAATAAGTTTAATCGGATAAAATACGCCTATTTAAAATTATATGAGTAGGTATACTTTATTCTGTGACTTCGGCACTGTTCAGCAGCAGTTATCAGTTGTGAATTTAATAAATTCAGGATGAATAGGAGTGGCGATAAACTATGTAGTTTATTTGAAATAAGAAGAGCAGAACTCATGACCTTGAGGCCTACCGGTCATGGGTGCTTATTGACTTGTTAATTGCAAAGGCGTGGTTCCTTTCAAATCATATCTAATTTACCGGGCATTTCGAACTGCTTGGCCTGTTTGGTATTGCCCGAAGTCGACCATAATTTTAATTGGTTATTCTAATTAGTTGGACCTGTCCGGATTGCTTTTAAATATGTCCTTTGATATGATTTTCTGGCTGACTCCTGTTAGCCATGAAACTATATGTGCTCTTTTCTACCAAAACAAGTCAGAGGAAGCTCACTGGTTTTCGTATTTCCTGAGTAAATCAGCTGATTCGTTTCCTGGTTCGACTTTTGATTAACGTTTTCCCACCCAGCTGATCCTAGTTACAATGGAGCCAGACTTGGTAAGCTGGGGAGGCGGGAGGAGGGGGGATCGATTTGCTGGCTAATTAAGGGGCACGGAAATGCATGTACACAGAACTCAAGCAATCTGTCATCAGTATCGCCTATCCTT